GAATGTGAAGATTGTTGAATAAGATTAAGATGGGGTAGGGGATAGGATTACTGTAATGAGTCATGAAAGAAGGAAATGGAAACAGCATATGTAACATATTTGCACCTATTTATAAAAGGATGGCCATTTGTCGTGAACGGTCTTAGAAAACCCTTCATAAAAGCGTAATAAAAGCATAAAGCAAATGCCCGTCATAAAAGCATGATCGCAAAGACAAATCTACTGAAAGGCCGGAAAAAGACATCGCATGTTTTTTCATGGTGAACGGCCATTTAAGTTTAGTTTAGTTGACATGAGGTACGGAGCGGCTGCAAAGATGCATAACACACTTTTACTGTAGAGACTGCATAAAAAAATGACGCAACCATAAAAGCTGCCGAAACGTAAAACTATGTTTTTAGGCTTTTGCCTATATAAAAGATAATGACGGGATTGATACGGAAGCATCGTATCCGTACGAAGCATCCGACGAAAAATGTCGCTACACGAACCGGACGCGTGGTGCAAATGAAATTGGGAAAATCGATCTACGGGAAGGTGACGAAAAGCAACTTCAGATTGCTGTTGCTCGAATTGGACCAGTATCGGTCGGCATTGATGCTTCCAGCAATTTAACTGGGTACAGTAAAGGTTGGTTTTATCTGTATTATGCAGGAGCTGTGGGCGTTGATTCCTCGTTCGCAAGACTGTTATCCTGTGTAATCTTGCTTCATTGAATTATTATAAGTTCAAAACTTTTAGCTATGTTTTCTCTCATCTTTCAAATTTTTCTTAAAAACGTGGATGAAGCCGCCTGCAACGCATCAGATTCTAAAGTTTTTTCCTGTTGCAATTTATCTCTCCTTATTTCCGTGCACCTCTTCATCGTCCCATTGTGCTGAAATACCAATTTCTACTGATGATTAAGCGCAAATATAAAGTATACAGGTATTCAGGTATTTATAGCAGTAATTTCTGCTCCCAAACAAAACTTGATCACGGTGTGCTCGTAGTGGGCTACGGAACAGAAATGATGCGGTCGATCAATGGTACCAAGAAGCAAATTGATTACTGGATTGTTAAAAATAGGTATTAAACACTTTTTTAGAAAAATACAACAAAATCTAAAACCAAATTCCCCTCTCCCCGTATTTACTTCCCATGTGAAGTGG